CGCAACGTTGTATGCGGTGGCAATTTTCCGAGCTATGGCTGGCATCTGTGGCATTGGGCGGGTCCCGCCCTCAGCCTCCATCCCTCTATAATGACGCCAGGCATGTCAAGTTGCTCGTCAGTGGCATAAAGTCGGGCCATCTCGGTCCTCTCCATCCTCTCGAATTGGACGTGGAAGATGTGACCCGCTCGGCCTCTCTTGGCTTTAATGCCTCGGGCGAAAGTAGCTGGAAAGCCTCTCTCGTTCAGTGCTTCTAGAAGCACCTGGGGAGTGGTGTCTAGTGGTAGTCCTTTGACTGCCACTTTCAGCGGCCTCTCTGTTTCCGGTGAATAACAATACCACTCTATCGCGGCATCTCGAGTTGCCGCGTCTGTGAGGTATTGTTCGATGGTTCGGTATTCTTGTTCGCTTTTCGGTTTAAAGCGTATGCTCCGTATGGGCGTGCATTGGGGGCGTGGCCTAGAGCTGTCCTCAGTTTCCGAAAATGGTCCGGCCAAGAGGGTAGTTTGTCAACAATTATTGGAGGGTAGTTTTTGATGGTTTCTGTTTTTGTTTCCTGTGGTGTCCTGGAGCAGGGCGAGGCAGGAGTCGGCATCGGTGCTGATGGCTGCGCAGGGGTCGACAACGTCGTCGTGGCGTAGGTCCTCTTCTGCGTGCCTTCGATCTCAATTGATGAGTTGATTTTGAAGTAGGATGTCGAGGCTGTAGCTTCTTGGGTTGGTGTAGGGTCGATTGATTCGTACGATCCGTATTGAGGGTCTTCCTCTTTCGCTGTAGCATTGGTGGTGCTCGCGGAGTGGGCGGACTTCGGCGGTGATGGGCCCAGTCTGGGGCGCTTGTCGTCGCCTCCAGAGGTCACATCATCATCGTCGAATTGGCGACGGCGTGGGTCCCATTCAAGCGTCTATTTCGCGGATAACAGTCAGGTCGGTGATGAAGGCGCAGTAGTCTCGGTGCGAGTGAGAGGTCGGGCTCGACGCGAACGGAGCCGCACAACCTTCTGCGACGGCGACACGAGGACTACTGATAACCGCTACGATCAGTTCCTTGCCTTTAAATACGCGCAAAAACTACCTCCCACTTGTGAAAATCAAGATGGCGCCTCGATCCCACTCGAGGCACTGCTCTGCTCTGATTGGACGCGACATAAGATGATTTATAAGAGACTTTTATTAAATTGTTAAGTTACTGAACGATACAAAAATTGTAATTAATTAAATCAAATTAAATTAAGATTTTATAAAATTATTTAAAGTGTAAACAATAGCCTTTTCGCGATTGGCATTCAACAAGAAACTCTACTCGTCACATCCTCCGATAAATATTTTTTTTTAAATAAATTCTTGCCCAATGTATCATTGAACGGAGGCTTTGCGGAGATCGGGAGATAGTGTTGTACCCGTATAGGAAACCTTCTTCAACTGTTTTTGCACAGACAATCTTGTAAAATGCATTGTAACCCTTGTGGTATGAATTCAACTGGCACTTGTCTAGTTATTAGGGTTCCTTAGTCCTGAAAAGGTAGATAGTAGGATGATAGCAAGATGTAACGGGTAAATACTATAGTAGGGGAGCCCAAGCGGGGATTTTTGGATTTACATAATCCAAAATAGAAGAATTATAATACGGCAAAATAACATATGGGGAGCAACCTTGCACGTAGTTAAGTACTCCCACCAAACCTGAGCCACCTATGTAGGGCCAAACGTCTAGGGCAGCAAAAACAAAATTTCAACAAACGGCCATAACTTTTGGTCGGGTCCAAATCGTCAGTCTTTTGAATAGGAGCTACTGGAGGGTTCACGTAACATCCCTTATCCCTTTTTTCCTATATTCTACCCCTTCGTACGGCCACCCCCATATCATGCAAACCGCGGCAGGTCAATATTTTTTCCGTTCTTAGGAACGTTACGTGAACCCTCTAGTAGCTTATATTCAAAAGACTGACGATTTGGGCGCGACCAAAAGTCAGGACCGTTCGTTGAAATTTTTGTTTTTGCTGCCCTAGACGGTCGTCCCTACATAGATGGCAAGACTATTCGTACTTCACTACATAGTATAAAACAAAGTCGCTTTCTCTGTCCCTATGTCCCTATGTCCCTTTATATGCTTAAATCTTTGAAACTACGCAACGGATTTTGATGCGGTTTTTTTTAATAGATAGAGTGATTCAAGAGGAAGGTTTATATGTATAATACATGCATAATATAGTAGAGAAACACTGATAATTTTAGAGGTTTTTAATGTAAGGTCGTAAATAAACACATTTTTTGCGCTTACATTGCAAACGCTGGCTGAACCCCACGAAATAGATCAAAATAATGTACTACAGTATTGTACAACTTAAAAAGGTCTACAAAAAAGTCCGCGATGGTATATGTCTATCTCTTAAGGATAACCCACAATAACCAATTTTTATCCTATACTTTTTACGAGAAATAATAGATTATTTACGAAGCGATTTTAAGCAATATAACATTCATCCTTATCCAATTAAGTACCTTAAATACATTGTGCATTTAATATAGAACAATTTGGCCCCTTAACGCATATATATAATTTAAATGAATATTTTCGAAGATATTACAAATTTAAAATTCAGGGACATAGCGGTTCCGACGCTACCGGGCTTGGCGGCGCGTGCCTATTGTAATTGGGTATTAGAAGAATGTCATTGTGTATAATACAAGCCTGAGAACAAAAACTATAGTCTACACTACAGCTTTACACCGAAGCGAAGCGAGGGCGGGCCACTAGTAAAATTATAAATGCGGAAGTGTGTCTGTTTGTGTGTCAGGTTGGGATTATTACCTCTTATTAGATGAAAATTGGTACAAATATAGGTTGAGGTATGGGAAAGGACGTATGATAGTGATAGTTTTATCCCAGAAATCATTATTTAAGGGGGGTTAAAAGTGGAAAAGGAGTTTCTATGGGAAACAACAATTTTTCGCACACACACAAAGCAGCAATTAGGTAAATTTCTGTTTAAACCCATTAGAGCCTTATGTTGACATATGGCAACGCGGGTAGTTAGTTTAGTTTACATATCCTATTTCACAAACTGTGCACCGCAGCGATTGTTTGTAATTTTTAACTCGGAGCCAGATATACTAGTCGGTGATAAAGAATAATTAGTGGTCAGTCGTGTTTTAAGTTTCAAAGTATTTGTGGTTTTACTTCTGGGTTTTGTGGATTTATGGGCTCAGCTTTCCATTATATGTAATTGAGTTGCAAGCTGAAATTTTATGATCTTTTTAGGCGGAAACGAATAGAACTCGAGAAAAAAATTATTGAAAATTAATATTTTTGTAGGTTATGAGTCAATTTTGACAGCAATTTTGATCAGTGCTGCCATTTTTTTATGCAAAAATAACATGTTTCTCGTTGTCTATGGTAAATATAAGTTTATTATGTTGGTACTATTGTCAAAATGTGACAATTTACCGCCATTAATGAGATCTGTCAGTCAGTGTTTGTGTTCATCGCAGTTGAGAGCTTTTTCGTACTCCTGTTGATATTAACGTCGTCTGACTACCATGGCATCCTCAAAGCCTTCGACCTCGAGTTCTGCTGGCCCTTCGCCTGAAAAGTCGAGTGTAGTGCGAGTTTTGGACTCTAATGAGCTGCTTGTGTGGTGATACTTCACACTAGGTTAGGTTAGGTTAGTGTTGTGACCTTAACGCGCGAGCCGAGCGAGCGAAGCGAGCGTGCCGCGGCAGCGGCCGGCCAAGCGCCAGAAAGAAAAATTCGTTAATAGAGACTTTTTCTACAAAAAAATCAAATATCACCTCTAGGCCCTGGAAGTACAGTTTTACCTTTAAAACCCCTCTAATTTTTTATAATTATCATTTCTGTAAAAAAAAACGACCCTTCCCTCTGAGGGGTCTTCCCTAATACCTATCCCCCTGAAATTTCACTACTTAAAACAGATTTAATGAATTTTTAGGTTAGGTAAAAAAAAAACTGCATTTCCGCCAAAAATCTTTTATGGCGGGGGGGTCGGGGGGAGCCCCCCCTCCCCCTCCCCTACAAATTACCTCGAAATTCAATTACATATAATGGAATTAAGTACCGATTTATGCAAAAATGACGAACAGAAAACAGTAAGTCCTGTTTATTTTTATTTTGTGTAGTGTGGTTTTTATTTGTTTACACATTTTATGTACAGACATGATTAAATTTTGTAATACGAGTGAAAACATATTTCTTTTATGTTTATTTTGGATGTACTGAGACATTTTTCGCATGTTGCCGCATGGCAACGCTAGGCTGAGGTATGTACATAATTTCCTGAACATTGTTTTTTATTTTTTTCAGTCTAAAGTTACATGAAATTGCGGATTCACTGGAACAAGTGGATAATGATGACTTACAGGACATTTTTATCGAGCCTCCTGAAGTAGCAGAATATACAGATGAGGATTCTGCTGATGAAGATTCTGGTGGCTTGATTGAAAACTTGACAGGTAGACAACTATTAGCGGGTGCAGAAATAGTTTCACAAAACATAAATGAAGACGAACCTTGTGTGTTATTCAATTTTTTTTTACCCTAATTGTGTTACCTAGATGCTAAGTAATACAAATATGCATAAAACGTACAAAAATATCAATTTCAAAAACTCAGGCTCTAATGGGTTAATTAAAATAAGTACTAGGTATTGTCAACTTTCGATAAGAATAGAAGTAAGGCAAGATGAGAAAATAATAAGTACCTAATTTGTGATCTCTGAGTTGACATCAGCATCACAACACCTACGTCGTATTCGACGGTGGTCCGGTCTAACATGTTGCTGGTAATTCATAAGCAGTCAATGTAAATTGATTTAACTGCGACGGGCGACCCCAAGTTAGTGGCTATTCTGTTCTGCGGTTCCGTGAAGGCTTCACACGTGAATGTTGCCGTTAGCGAAGCGAACGTCTTACGATTAACAAGCGGAGATTTCCAGCTTTTCGTGGCGATTTTCTTTAAAATCAGTGACAGTTTCTGTGACAATCTTGGGACTGTTGTGTAAACAATTTTCGGTGTTGACGAGAAACAGGATTATAAAGATTCGTTCTTTAATAGTTTGTTGGTGAGTTTAAGGTTTTTTGTGCGGCTTATTTAATTAGTACTTAATTAGATGTGTAAAAAAAGATACTGCAATATTGTGTGCTGTTCATTATTTTTTTAAGGTGATGACATATTTTTATTATGTAAACAATACCATTTTTTGTTTATATTTTGAAACAGGAATCTGTTGATCAATTTTACTTATTCAATACATTTTTTTTAAATGAATAAACGATTATAACTCAGCCGCGAGGAGTTCTCTGCGATACTTTTAAGTAAACTTACAGCTTTACGCAATGCGTGGAGTTGTGTGTCTAAGATTTTTGAGCAGGTCAACGAGCGTTAGGTCTGATAGTAATAATATACAATCATCTTCACCATCATCAGCCTATTAATGTCCCCACTGCTGGGGCAAAGGCCTTCCCTATGGATGGAATAGGGAGATTGGGCCTTGACCCATCATGCAAGCCCAGTGCGGATTGGCGGGTGCTGCAGATGCAGCCGGGACCAACGGCTTAACGTGCCTTGCAAAGCACGGAGGAACTCGAGAAGAATTTTGGTCACCCATCCAATGACCGACCACTGCGAAAGTTGCTTAACTTCAACGATCGCAGCCGCGCCATTGAGCTCCTCATCCAATATTATATCATTCAATAATATACAAGATGTCCCAAAACTTTGCCTTATGGAGGGAAAGGAACTTTTAATACTGTAGATACGAGTAGATCGTTTTTCTGAAAAAAGATTTTATACTTTGTTTTGAAAACAATACGAACTGCATTGGTTGTAAGTGACTGCTGATGACGCCGTGACTAACGACTCTACGGTGCCTTCCGAAGCGTAGAAGCAAAAAATAATAAAGTATTGTTCACCTACCCTTCATCATCATCATCATCAGCCTATCAATGACCCCACAGCCGAGGCACAGGCCTTCCCTATGGTTGGAAAAGGGAGATTGGGCCATGACCAACCACGCGAGCCCAGTGCGGATTGGTTGGTGCTAAAGACTGCAGATGCAGCCGGGACCAACGGCTTAACGGGCCTTCCGAAGCACGGCGGAGCTCGATATAGTACATTTTTGGTCACCCATCCAATCACCGACCATTGCCAAAAATTTCTTAACTTCAACGATCGCAGCCGAACGCGCTAACCACTTGCGCCATCGAGCTCCTTTCCCATCCTATGACCGGCCATTGTTAAAGTTGCTTAACTTTCACGATCGCGGACCAAACAGCTGAGCTGCTCTACCTTGCTTACGACAATGAAAATAATTGATATTATTATGAATACCATTAAATACGGTTTGCATTAGCTTGCCGTATATTTTGTAATTTTATATTTATTACCTAGAGTGGAATTTTATTAATATATTTATTTAGTAATTTTGAAACATTTAAATAACACAAATTTAAATAATACTTAGTATCTAAATTAACTTACTTACCTACTTAAATAAATAATTTACAAAATAAAATATATGTCACCCACAGCGCCAACGTGGCAATGCTGATCCGTTGACCAAGATAGCTGCCAGCCCTTTGATTATGTTTAATTTATAAAATTTTTAAATAAACCATCTCAGTGTGCCTCCTATACCTTGACTTAACATTGAACTTAAAATTACATTTAAAATATCAAGTTCTAACAAAGTTAACCTGATATTTTATTTCTGACGGCCCAATAACTGTATTGCCCTCAGAAATAACAAATGCGTGTCTGTAAATCGAGGAGCTCGATGGCGCAAATGGTAAGCGCATTCGGCTGTAATCGTTGATGTTAAGCAACTTTCGCAGTGGTCGGTCATTGGATGGGTGACCAAAAATTTTTCATCTCGAGCTCCTCCGTGCTTCTGAAGGCAAGTTAAGCCGTGGGTCCCGGCTGCATCTGCAGTCGTCAGCACCCACCAATCCGCACTGGGCCCACGTGGAGGGTCATGGCCCAATCTTCCTATTACATCCATAGGGAAGGCCTGTGCCCCAGCAGTGGGGACATAAAAAAAAGAGGCTGATTATGATAATGATGATGTATAAGGACGGCTACAAAACACTGCTGCGATTTAACCGATAATGGGTGATTTTCTAAGCGATCTGCGCGGGTGAAACCGTGGGACACACTAATATATTATATAACAGAATTTGGCACCTATTCAGATCTCAATTCTTTTGTCGGTGAAGTCGACAACCACGTCCGGTTGAACTTGGCTCCCATTGTGGATATAGGAGCCAAGTATTGTTTTCAAATGTATGTTTTAGATGAAAACCTTAAACCTTTCTTCAGGTTAAATAAAACTAGTTTTTACGGGTTAATGCACGAAACTTTATTTATTTATTTAGTTTACGGTAGTTAGGGTCAAATAAATAAACTCAAAATTACAAAAAAGAATTAAAATAAAATACTTTATTGAGTAAATTTAATAATAAATTCATACATAGACAATTAAACATTACAAATCGAACAATGAAATAACCGAATGCTCAATAAAAGTCGAAAGACTTTGTCGAGCTACCTTCGAAAGAAGGTAGCTCGACAAATTAAATAAAAGTTTAATTCTGACGACACGTAACGTCAATAAATAAATAAAGTTTCGTGCATTAACCCGTAAAAACTAGTTTTATTTAATGAGTGATGTGCGTGAAAACCTAAGAAACAAATAATTTCTTCAGGTTCTCAGTTCAAAGTCTACAGATTGGACAGTGTAGTTTTTTGACATTCATTAATGCTTAGGCCTACTTGAAATACTCCAAACAGTGTTTGTTACCAACCCGTACCAAAATTTTACCCTAAGTATTTTTTAAATTCTCCTAAAATCACCGAAATATAGAAATTTATATGTACCTACTCATCTAATTACCTAAATTCTTTCATTGCTCATAAATTAAAACGTTACATATTTAGTTACAGTAAATTATTTTATTGAATAAATACATTTTCCGAATGGAAAATCAAACGAAAATGAGCTGACAGGCTGTGAAATCTTATTTAGCTGTTTTGATTGGTGGAAGGCAAAGTTTCATGGTGTCGCCGACTCCAGAGGTCCCCTGTTCGAATCCCGGTGGGGGCAGATGTTTGTGTGATGAATACGAGCATTTTGTACTCCAGTCATGGATGTTTAATATGTATTTCTATATAACAGTATATGTATTCTATCTGTTACCCTAGCATCCCATAACACAAGCCTTATAGTGCTTTGGGGCTAGGCTAATTGGTGTGAGTGTTGGAAATATTTATTATTTATAGGATTGAACTTGAATGTCTATAGGTAAAAAATTTAAAATTTTATGGGATTAAGTAATCATGACGCAGTTATACATAATTAAGATTGTATCTTTGGTACCTATTAAAAAATTATATATGGACAACATCATTCAAATGTCCATTGCCTCCAGTAGTGACCGTGACCTCGCGCGGCAAATTGTTGACATTGATGTCTTTTTATTAACTAACTATTCAAAGGGGGAACGCTGCCTGTATCTTGTAGCTAGGGTTGCCACCCGTACTTTATTATAAAGTATAGGGAAAGGATGCAAATTTGGAATACTACTTTAAAAAAACGTATTAAACATGGATGAAGAGATAAATAAGTGAACACTGCATTTAATATTAGAAGAACTTATATTTTATTGAAGTTAAAGTAATTAACAACCTTGGATTATCAGAAGTAGGATCAATTATGGTTTAATTAAGAAATCACAGATGGGCGTAGTTTAACTAAAGTGAATATAATTGGGAATAGGGTATTTCCTAATTACAATCACCCAATGGTTAACCTGAAATACCTATTTATTCAACAACTGACATACTAGACTTAAGATTTGTACAAATATATACACATATATATAAGTCACACTCAAGATGCAAGCCAATTTATTATTTGGAAAATTTTCTCGTCAGCACTTTCACTCCGATGAAGTTTGTCACGGAACTGTCAATATGGCTGCTTCTTAGCCACCTCAATTTTGTTTCCTAACACATAGACTACGTCAAAGTGGTATACGTCAATACATGGCGCTTTAGATATTTGTATACTACAGTATTCCAAATTACCAACAGTATACCAAATTAGCATCCTTTCCTCTATTGTACGTTATTTCGGGTACGTGTACACTATACTATATGCCAACAATAAAGTACACGAAAATACTTTATTTAATGTGATTTGATTACTCGGGGATTAATTTTACATAAAATATACAAAAGACTTTTTGCGTAGACAGACAGTATGAATATGTCGCCCTTAGCTAATTCCTGCAACATTTTCGTGACTGTATGGCTTTGTAATTTGACATGATGACCTTTACAATTGCGGAAAAGAACTACTAGTAGCCGCAAATTATTTATTAAAAGTTGCTAACGTAAAATATATTTTAAGCTTACTAATGAAGAGGAATAAAAAGTATTTTGGGATCAATGTTTTTTTTTATCTTTATTTGGGAAACAAACAATGAATTAATACTTATACCTAGATCTAATTAACAAAACATACATCAATAAAGTTTCCACTATAATATAAAACATATAAAGGAGTTCAGGTATGTTTTTATTTATTTTTAAGCATTTAACTGCTAGATGTTTAAATCTAAGGAAAAGTTTACTAGAGTAGAGTTCAGGTAGTTAAAATTGAGAAAGAAAAAAACGTTAATAATTTTACCAATAAAAATAAAATAAAAAATTAACAAGTTTTGTTGGTTACAATTAATAATTATGAACTATCTACATATCATATCGTGTATATATATTTTCCATTTTTTGAGTGAACAGTTAAATATATCGTTTGATGTGAACCTGTACTTTTTTTTCTACCTTTAATATCCAATGTACTTTTTTTGGGCAAAATAAAGGTGGCAACCCTACTTGTAGCCCACCAAAAACATAATTATAGAAAAGGAGAGCCAAGTTCAATACAATAAATATACTTGACTGTGGGCTTCGCCGCAAAAAGAATGGAGATCTAAATGGGTGCCAAGTTCTATGCAAAATCCAAATCTCATATCTATTAGACAAGTCCGTCCGTCCGTCTGTGGT